GCAAGGGATTCCCTGAAACTTCAATACACCAAGCTTCCTTCACTATATCCATAAAGAGTGGGTGCTCTGCCCAAAAATCAAAATATTTAAAGGGTTTGGGCAGAGACTTTATAGGGGGCTGCCGTACAAACTTGCACCCCACAGTGATCTGAGAAATGTGCAGGGAGAGCCTCCATAGCACAATATTTAAAATGCTCAATCCAATCCACATTAACCAGACTTTTGTCCAGCTGTCTAGCAATAGGATGATGAGACTGCCGGTTAGTCCATGTGAACTGAGGCCCCGTTGTTCTATAGTCTACCAACTCCATCTCCTCAATCCATTTATTAAAACCTTCCATACTTGAAGTAAATGATCGCTGATTAGACGTCTCATGAGGAGCCCTAACAGTATTAAAGTCACCACCAACAATCCAAGGATGTCCAACAATCTTCAACTGTGCAATCTCCTTGTAGGTATGTAGCCTCTCAGCCTCATCATTAGACGCATAAACAACAGTTAGAAAGAAGGTATCCTTGTTAATGTCCTCAATCAAGCAATGAATAAAGTTCTTCCTTGGTTTGAGAACATGAAGCTTGATGGCAGGATCCCAAAACAGCCAGACCCGCCCTACTTTAGAATCAAAACAATTGAGAAATTTATCCCAGCCTGCGAAAACCTCCTCTACTGCCTCCTCAGCTTTACTAGCCTGAACCCTGGTTTCAAGAACATCACTAAATCTACTTTATTTCTACGTAGGACATGCATCAAGTCCCCTGTTTGGAGGTTTTATTAAACCCCCTTTACATTCCAGAACAGAATAATCATTTCGAAGTTGGAGGCTTCCCCCCACCCTTCTTCATATCCTTCTTTACCTCCTTTTCCTTTGGAGCATCTTGCATCTTACTTGCTTCCCTATCACCCAGTTTCCCCAAAACACTGAAAGATGAATTAGAAACTTGAATGCCCTTGGAACTGTCTTGAGATAGCCAGACTCGAGGTCGAGCTCCATTAACCACTCTTTGAAAATCATCTTCAGAGGGTAATTTGGGTGAAGAGGAAGTAGCCACCTCCTAGAATGATTTCTCCAAGTTCTGTGGAGCCACTTTGCCCCCTCCCATCGAAATTGGAGTAGTAAAGATGGCCATCAATTGAGGATCATCATCATATATCACCACCTCCTTGCATTTACCACTCACTACTTGTTGATCCATATTCATTTCCTGATTCACTGAAGCAGTCGTATCCTCTTGCCCCTGAATTGTAAATACCTTTTCATTGAGCACTTGCTTAGCCACCCATTGCTTTCCTTGATGTTCAGCACAGGAGAGCACTTTCAGAAACTACAGACCAAAGTAGAAAGTTTGATTATAATTTGGGCAAAATAAGATATTAATCCGTTATTTATCTGTTCATCTAAATTTGTCATAATATCCTAAAGGGTGCTGCGATACTCTATTTTCCTTGTTTGTAGTCTTTCAAACAATTTTCCATATATTTTATGATAACACATCTTTTGTTGTCTAATTTAGTAGTAATTTCTTAAAGTTTAATTATTATTTTTTGAAGATCTGGTAGAATTATTTATTGAGTATATGAAGTTGATTTCCTTTTGCTATTTCACTGTCTTTTATAATCTTATTAATTATATTTTTAGCTAGTTCTAAATGAGAATATAGTTGTACTTGTCTTTCATTATATTGACATTCTAAAACTGTTTTTAAATGTTCATTGTTTTCTTATGTAGTACTTATTATTTTTCTAAAATATTTATGATGCTTCCATGATAGTCATTTATTGACTTTGCTAATTTTTCTATTTTTATAGATATTTTTTCTGTACTCAACTTATTTCTGGTTCGCTTTTAGTATCTTGTGAATTGTTTTAAGAAACGTTTATCTATGTGGTTTGTTCTGTACATGTCATAAACCAGTTGGTCCCAATAAGTCAATAACTCGAGTTTTTGGGAGATGGTTATGCTGGATCTTATAGCACTTAACACGCCACCTCAAACGATAGCCAATCCATGAGTTTGAAGTTTGCACAAGCGATCCCCATACCTTGTGCTTTAATCAACTGTTAATGTTGGGGGTCGTGGAGATTCGAACACGCGACCAATTTGCCAACTGGCTTATGACATGGTATCAAAGTTGGTTTGTCCGTGAGGTCACGTGTTCAAGTCCTCACGACCTCAATATTAATAGTTGTCTTTCAAACATTATTGTATGTCTGGTCTGTGCAAACTTCAAGCACATGAATCAACTTTCGTTTGAAGGAACGTACAAGAAAGTAGTTAAGTACATACATTAGCCTGTATAAGATCTAATATGACTTTCTCCAAGTAAACTATGATGAGTATTGGTTTGCATTGGAATATGCCAACGTCTGTCCTATTTCTATATTTGTCTGAATTGTTTTATTATTTAGTGAGTCTTTTACTTACCATTTTATAGGGGTGTTCAAATGGTTACCATGATTATAACCAAACCAAATAAGGCTACATTCCATTAATCATGGAATACAATATCATAACCAAACCGTCCAAACTAATACAACAACAAAATTAACCAAACTAAAGTTTAATCGGTTTGGTTAATTGGTTAACCAGATTAACCAATATAAAATCACATTATCATTGACGATGAACATTTTCCGGTTAATGCAACAATTCGCAATTTATATAATGAATAAAACATAACAATCAACACGTAGTTATAATTGACCCTTAACAAAAATACATGCAACTAAAATTACAAAAAATGTTCAAGTTTGGTCACTCGAAATATTTAAATCCATTGGTGGTACTTCAGTTTACTGAAATCGTTCACGTTTGGTCACTCTCCGTCCAACTCCGTTAACTTTTGCTGATGTGGCAGTCAACTCTCAAAATTGACCGTTAACTTAGTGACGTGGCAATTAAAAAATTATTAAAAATAAAAAAATAAACTTTTATATTTTCCACCTCATTATTACATTCATTAAAAAATAAAAAAATAAAAACCTAATTTCTTATTACATTCATTATTCATCTACTAACAGAAAAAATTAATAATTTACATGAACGAGATTAATATCCCAAAAAATGAAACAGAAAACAAAAGGAAACGGTAAGATTTTCCAGCCGTCCTCATGATCCAAACTTGAATCCATCTGTTAGGATTTTCTCCCTTGTAATTCGAAACCAATATGACAAAAAATCCCTAAAATGGAGTCAACGTCCTGCTGAAACCGTTCACATTAGGGAAGAATCCGACGAGAAGCTCCTGACGGTAGGGCAGATACGACCGCCGCCGATCCCCATCTTTCAACGCTCTGCTCTTCGTATAAAACACCTCATGTGCCGACGCCGCCGTTTTCGCAGCTCTTGCCGGCGACGGTTTCGCCTTCCGATCGGCTGCCGATCGCTCAGCGAGCGCGGTATCGTTTCGGCCGCTGCTGGAGCATCGCTGCTCTGTCCCTCAGCGTCGCCGGGAAATCGATCTCGGTTGACACCGGGTAGAAAACAAGGGAGACCAGTTGCTGGCGGTCTCCTAATTCAATTGCGTCGGGATCCGCGCAGCTGAAGGAGACAAACTCGAATTCGCCGTCGTTTCCCGATGAATTCGCTGCTGCTTCCGCCGCCGCCGCAGGAGTAGCTACTGAAGCTGGGGCAAAACGCCACGTCGGCGGCGGCTGTGGCGGAGGTTTCGTCCTGCATTTTAATGAATGTAATAAGAAATTAAGTTTTTTTATTTTTTAATGAGAGGTGGAAAATATAAATTTTTTTTTTTATTTTTAATAATTTTTTAAGTGCCACGTCACTAAGTTAACGGTCAACTTTGAGAGTTGACTGCCACATCAGCAAAAGTTAACGGAGTTGGACGGAGAGTGATCAAACGTGAACGGTTTCAGTAAACTGAAGTACCACCAATGGATTTAAATATTTCGAGTGACTAAACTTGAACGTTTTTTGTAATTTCAGTGACCAACCATGCAATTAACCCTTATGCAAAGTATTAAGTATGTGTATATAATATATGTTAGATATATGACTAATTACTTAACTGGTTAATTTGGTTTGATTGGTTAGGAGTGTCTGAAACCAAACCAAACCACCTAAACCAAACAAGTTAAAAACTTTAACCAAACCAAACCAATTATCCAAATTAACCAAACCAAATTATCCAAATATTACTAGTTAAAACGGTTACCATGGTAACCAAACCGTTTGAACACCCGTACCATTTTACTCCTTTCAGCCGTCACAGCTCGGCCGCCCTCTGCCTCCAGCTCGGGTCCACAGATCGGCTCCCTTCGACCTTCTGCCTAGGGGTGTACATGGGTCGGGTGGTTCGGGTTTAGTCATTTTAATCACCCGACCCATGCACTACGGTTTGGGAAATATCAAACCCAAACCCACCCAAAAAATTTTAAACCCTACGGTTTGTTTCTAATTGGGTTGGGTCGGTTGGCGATATTTTTAAGTAGAAACCCAACCCAACATAAAATATATAATTATTCTACATCATAAAAATATTTTATAACTAATTAAAATTTCAAACGAATGAACCAAGGTGAAAGATATGAAAATTTACAAATGTTGTTTAAATTTTAATAAAATGTGATTTACTTCAACATATGTCTTGTTTTTTTCACGATATTTGTTGAAATATGCTAAAAATGTTATAAACAAACGCATCCATCATATGTTATTCTATTAAAATTGTACATAAGAAAAAGAATTACGTGAATCATAACTATATTCAAAGACATGGCGAAATATCTTAATTTTCTCATAAGTATATGACTATATACTACATAAATATTTTTTAAATCCGAACTCATACTAATAGTTGATACACGGGTTGGGTCGGGTTCTACGGGTTGTGTAATCCAAAATCCAAACCCAACCCAAAAGAGGCGGGTTGTACAAAAGAAAACCCTCACCCAACCCAAAACCTTCATTTTAGCGATAAATACGGGTGGATTGGGTCGGGTTGGACGGGTGGATCGGTTTGCGGGTGTGTTTGTTCACCTCTACTTCTGCCTCCACCGCTCGGTCTCCCCTGCCTCCAGCTCGTCCTCCCTCTGCCTCCACGCTCCCCTCCCGCAGTCGACACCTCGACCTCCCTACTCTGCCCCAATCTGTCTCCCATCTCCATCTCCAGTTGCAGCTCAGCCTCCTTCTCTTCCTCTCCTTGTCCCAATCGGCTGTCCCAATCGGCTATCCCTCTCTCTGCGTCGAACTCGATTGGTAAGGGTCCTTCGGTTTCTTCTTTAAATCGGCTGTCAAAGCCCCAATTTTTGCTCGACCGGGCAAACGGGCTAAACTGGGTTGACAATCCTTGTGAGCGAGATGTCTATCTTTGTATTTGTCTCTGTCTTGCATGTCTTGTTCTTCTATTTCTACCAACTTATTGTTTGGGACTGTATTGCTGTTAGGGTATGGCATCTCCGTACAACCCAGAAAGAGTCGATAGAGGTAGCAAGGAGAAAGATCGCGAGGATGAACACAGTGATAGATCAGTTGATGAGGTAAACGAGTTCATTTGTTTACTGCAAGCTTACTTTTGACTGTTCTTGGCTGACAGCAATTCATCCCTCTCGGATGATATTTGAAGGAACTTAGCATCACAACTGTGAAGGTTGGGTATCTCATGAAGCATTCTCGTCAAAAAGATTTTGCTAAGGTGAGTCAGTCCAATGTGGGCATACCAAGAACACAAGGATAGATTTTTGCTAAGAAAATCGAGAAGTGAAAAATAGAAAGTTAAGGAGGGAATTCATGGTCTATGGTGATGGAGGTGTCCAATTAGAAATCTAGGGTCTTTGTAATTGAAAGTTAGCTCATAATTACTGAAAAAAAGTTGGATCATATGTACTGTTCCCATCTTAATTAAACATATTTGAATGCACTTATTTTCATGTTGTTATATACCTAAATAATGGGGTTCTCTGTTTTGATTCTATGTCAAGATAGTGAAGCTGGCCTAGTTTTGTTAAGTTATAGCTTGTTTTGCTTGTATCGGTTTGTATTGCTTATACATTTCTCTTACATATCATTGTAGAGAGGCACCTTCCCTGATGGTGTAACTCCAAACGGATTGCTGTTTCAGCGCTTGTCTTTTGAGAAACCCCTGCTACCTCAATTAGAAGATGTTGACATAATTTTGCATAAAGCAACAGATGAAATCATCTCCGTTGATTTACGTGACTCCACAGAATCATCAAATGCTATCACTTACACAAAAGGAATGCAAGAATTGAAAAGGTAACTTAATAGACTGTGAGGTTAATTTGACTAGTTGAAATGCAATGCCTTGTAGTTTTCCTAAATGGCTTCTCCATCGGAACCATGATATGGCTTCACAATCTTTGGTTGGTTGTTACCTTATTTGGCCATCATGCAAATTCCTTCTGACTTTGAACTGGCATTGATTTATACTCTTTGTTCTGCTTCTTTTTTGCAAACATTTCGTGATCAATATCGATGCTCTGATACTGACTACTCTCTGAAAGTTGTAAATCATTTCAGATATATGGAGCAGCATGTTGAATGCTGTGTAATCGATCCACTTGATAAAATATATCCTGTTGTGGATCGACTGAAAATACAACAAATTCTGAATGGGTTAGAGGATCTTCCCAAAGGACGCTGCTGCAGCATTAGAGGGCCCAATTTCCTAAAGGTGTTTTGATTGAAAATGGTATCTATTTGATGCAGTAGAGTGTAAACTGATATCTTGTAAATCAATAATGGAGAAAAGTTCTGAGGTTAATATGAATTGAGTTCAAATGTACAGGTTGATGACTTCAATGACCCTGAGATGGATCAAAGACTATCTGCTGCGAAATTATCCTTCCCAAGTATAGTGAAACCCCAAGTTGCTTGTGGTGTTGCTGATGCTCATAGCATGGTAAGAGTTGTTTTTGTTGCTGTTGGACTTCTGTTGCAGCAGAGAGTTGTCTCATATTTTTATTGCTTGTTTATTCAATGTTGGTAAAGTATCTTCGACAAGAAGTTATAATAGTTATCTAATTTACCGTATGGAAATGTGTTAAATAGGGGGCAACCTGTTTATAATTGCCGTTTTGTATTTTTCCTGGCTCTTACGATACTCTTGGTCTGGATTGCACGCTTATCATTTTATTTGAAGATGTCTTCATCGCTTTGAAGGTTATATCTAATTCTGGTAAAGGCACCAAAGATCCCAGCGTGCTGCCTATTATCCAAGTTTATTTTTTTGAAACCATGACTGCTCTAGGATGTTTTATCCAAGTTTGTTTTGGTTGAATCCATGACTGCTCTAGGATGTTGGTGGCTCCATTTCTCCAATTTAACAGCATCATTCTAATCAATATAATTTCCATGTCCAGGCGATTGTCTTTAAATCTGAAGATTTTAAGAACTTAAGTGTTCCTCTACCAGCAGTTGCTCAGGCAAGTATGGACATTCTAGCTGCTTTTGTTATGTAAATATTTTTTAGTTCTAAACTCTGATTGAGACTTCTTAGTCAGAAGACTTTAGCAGTTTAAATTTAATTATATTTGACTCTTGTTCGTAAAGTGACCTACTAACTCAAGTAACTGTAGTTTATAATGTGATAATCTTGGATTTTTATCACTTGAGTGTGCTACTGATTAACTATATCATAGTGCTTGTCGTTTTAGTAAGTTATAAACGATTGGTTTAGTGACCATCTTATGGGTATTCTATAAGAAAAGAGACTTTGTTCTGGGTTATCCAAGTCCAGTTTTCCTCTTTAAATTTACAACAGGTAATAATTGGCACCGCAGGAATATGTAAACCATTCATCAACGTTGTTCAAGATTTATGTCATTGGCAAGAAAGTTTTCTATGCCGTTAAGAGGTCTGTACCAAATGCTGATATATTGACGAAAATGGCAATTGAAAATGGGAGTTCACCTTTAATCTTTGACAGGTAGCTGAAATTTCTTGTCCCCATTGATTCCTTATCCATCAATGATAATTGGAATCACAAATCTTACACCGTAAGTTGTTTCCTTCTCCAGCTTGAAATCATTACCGACTAGCACAGACAGCTTACACGGTGGGGAGTCCTCCAGGGCCACTTTGGACCACTTTGATATTGATTTAGTCACAGATGCTGCATATTGGTTAACCAGAAAGCTTCACCTTACTGTCTTTGGCTTTGATGTTGTTGTAAGTAAACATTTTACATCCTTCCATCTCTATTGCCTCGTCTGATTTGATTCACCCTTTATCGAGTTGGGGTCATTTCTTGCCAATGTAAACTTACAGACGGTGTCAACTTGGGTAAAGCATCTCTACAGCTCCCGTAATCACCATGGACTAAAATGTGCTTGGTTTTTTTATTGGTAATCATCTCTGTGAATAAATTTGTGAACTTCTGCACCTTCAGGTTCAGGAAGGCAGCAATGACCATGTCATTGTGGATGTAAATTACCTTCCATCATTTAAGGAAGTGCCGGATGACATTGCCATACCAGCCTTTTGGGATGCGGTAAGAGAGAAGTTTGAATCCATGAAAATCTGAAAAGCCTGCCAAGAAGGTCGTCTGCAACTCCCATGTTGCATCATCTTTAGTTAATAAAGCTAGCAAAAGATTAGCTGATGGAACTTGTTTCATGAGCTTTGATGTCTAGTCGGGTCTTGGGTTGATGAATTTTCTTTCAGCAGAATCAGTGTAAGGTGCCATTTGCTCCAGTTTTGACAACTTTGGGGGACCGACAAATAACAGCTGACGAGGTTTTTAATATTGGTTGATGCAATATTCATGTAATTTGCATTTCCACTCTACCATTGTTAATGAGTAATGACCGAGGAAACAAGGCCGAACTGTGCGTTTACTTCAACCGACACTCTTATCATGTTTTACAAAATTAGCTTACAGTGGTTAAGTTTTTTCATACATCAAGCTGCAGATGTAATTCACAAAGCTAGCCAGCTGCTCTCCCTTTCAGTTACTTTCTCGTTTCTCTTCCAAGAAGGTTCATGAACAACTTGAAGTGCCCTAAATCCTTTGCTTAGGTGACGCTGGCCCCTATACAAGCTTGATGTATGATCCAGCTGCTCAAAGCGGCCTTGAAGGTCCTTCCACTACAACAGAACCACAGCCCAACAAAATCAGTGGCGTCAATACACGGAACGGATAGAGCGGAACGGATAGAGAGAAGTCTAAACCTGAACAATCAGAATGTTTCTCATCGTGTTTTCATAATTAGAAAAGTATGTAAAATACATTTATCATCCAAACTATCAAAGATGTCGCTCTCAAAAGTAACCAACCAAAAAATTATTCATGAGTTCATTATAAAATAAAAAAATCATTCATGAGTTCATCGCTCATCTGATTTCAAAGTGTGTTCTTCACGAATACTTGAACAGATGGGTGAACTGGTGAGTGAAAGTTTTCCTGTGGCCTTCGGTCAGAGAGACAAAGTCCACAACTTTTTCTTTTTACAATAGATTATCATATATTAATCAATAGCAAAAAGTTACATCCTGGAATTTAGTTAGGCCATAAAATCAAAAGATCGACATGAAGCCGAGTACAATGCTAGGGCCTTTCTAGCCACAACATGGGCTACCCTATTGTTACTACGTCCAACAAATCGTACACTAAGTCCATTATGAAGAGTGAAATAAGACACGACCTCCTGCAGAAGAGCACCCATCAGGCTATTCCTGGTATCAGATTGATTAATCTTATCAATAACAACCTTAGCATCACCTTCAAGGCAGATCACCTGGAACCCCAGACTTAGACACCGAAGGATAGCCTCCCTGAGCACAAGCAGCTCCACAATCGTGGGATCATCCACTTCGATTAACTGCATCCCATGCACAAGGATAACGTCTCGCGCCCGCTGCCGGAGAACCATCCCACAAGCCGAATGGGAGCCAGACCGTGTCGCCCCATCCCATTGGCAAACCACCTCTGAAGGATTCACCATGGCCAGGGCCCAAGGAACAGGAGCAGGAACAGGAGACTGACCATCCCGATCCATAGGCAAGGAAATCCATTCATTATATTGTTGGTTAAACTGTCACATTAGAGCCGGGATACCAAATTGTTTGCCTTCAAAAACTACCCAATTCCGGGATCGCCATAAGAGCGCAACAACTGCGAGAAAGAGGTCAGGTTGACTTAGCCGAAGCATTAACTTCTTCAGAAACAGGGGGAACGTGTGACGAGGCAACGCCTATCCCAAATGATCCAACCCCGAATGATCCCATAATGCCCTAGCCATAGGGCAATCCAGAAACAAATGTCCATCGTCTCCGCAGCCCAGCAAACCGGACACCGCGGGAACACCTGCACCTTTTTCTCAATGAGAGCCTCTATGGTAGGTAGAATCCGATTAAAGATCTGCCAAGTAAACACCTTCAATTTGGGGGGAATGTTGGATTCCCACAAACGGATCCAGCTGGGTCTATCCATCCAACTAGCCAACACTTTCGATTTCCCATTATGCTGAGCCAGAAGAACAGCCAGGTGATAAGCCGACTTGACCGAAAAGATTCCGTCAGACAAACCATGCCATATCAACCTATCCTCCACCGATTGTCGCGGGAGAGGGATCCGTTTAATTGCACGGATTGTTGGCGGATCAAACCAACGTTGGAATTGGGCATCACACCAACGACCCTCCCCTTGACAAATAACCTCACTCACCTTGATCTCCTCCTGGGGCAACACTCGAGGATTATAAGCTGGGGACAAGGATGCAAACAAGGGATCCACCGAGAGTCCAATAGCGGGGCCGTTTGTCCATTTCCAATCTGCTAGCGAAGCCCCCTGCAGCAGGAGCTCCCGACCAAAGAGAATACTCTGCGAACCCCAAGAGGGTCGCGATCGGGTAGTAGCCATGAGGAATGATCCACGTGGAAAATATTTTCCTTTATAAACTTGATGTAGCAGAGACTGGGGTTCGTTAAGAATGCGCCAGCCAATCTTAGCAAAAAGCGCATGATTAAAATGCTCAAAACGACGAAACCCCATACCACCATCATGCTTGCTACGGCCAAAGTCCACAGCTAATAAATATGATTTTCGATAATAAAAATTAGCAAAGGATTGACAATCGTACCGTACCTGTGATTCGACCAGAAAAATCTCCTACTAAAAGCAAAATTGATAGGCAATATTTAGCGGTATGAAACAATTAAACCACAATTTCAGCATAAGATACGCAGACGATTCTGGTACAAACTCTTTACGATTTTTTTAATACTTAACAATTAGGAATTGGTAACTAAAGAATAAATAATTTGTCGGGAATGCTTTATGCCATAACTCATTCTGGTATATAAATATAGTTAATATTTTCTGAACAATCAAGAGGTATGTGTAGCTCGGTGGAATAAACTTCTTCCATTTATCAAGAACAAATCTGGCACGACTCCCAGCTGCTCCATGTCTATTTTTATGGTTTTGGTCCAAATGCAAGGTGGGTCCCGGGACCCAGCCACTTATAGGCTGCCTCCGCTACTGGATGTCAATAACTCGAGTCGTTGGGAGAAGGTTATGGTGGATTTTATCTTGTGTTTTAATCAAATGTTAATATTAGGGGTCGTGGAGAATCGAACACACGACCACTTGGTCAAACCAGAATCTGATACCATGACAACCTTTCATGGTTGGAGAGAAAAGAGCTTAGCTTGATTTCATTCAGACTTCAGCTTATATAGCTGTATGTTCAACATACAGACAGATTGAAAGAAGACAAACCTTGTGTTCTAAGAAAGTACATTGCCAAAATGGAAAGAAACATAAATAACAACTCCAGGGGACCAAAGTGAACTTTGCCAGAAACGACATCACTCCAGCTCCTGTGGATACTTGTAGGAACGACATCGTTGGGTGCAACGGTCGACTTAATCTTCATCTCTGGTTCGAAAACAGAGTCCCGCGAAGAAGCAGAATTCTTCCCTGATAATCAAGAAGGGAAAGGAGGAGAGCATATAAGATTGGTTGGGAAGAGAGACGACAGATCGTAAGAAAGGAAAGATGGAGGAGAGAGGCATGTAGCGAGTGAAATCCCCCACAATTTCTACCTTATCTCTCTTGTTGAGAGAGCAGTGAGTGGTGACAGAAACCAATGAGAGAAAAAGGAGGCATAGAGAACTGAGCAGTTAGGTAAAATGAGTAGGCGAAAACTATAGAGCTACGTGGCTTCAAATATGCCATATACACCCCAAAATATCTCACCTCTGCTTCCCTCCATCTCTGGTACCTCTCAAGTACAATAGAGAACACCAAGAAATAACACGCTGGTCAACGCGGCCTCATCAAGGCCACACAAATGCTTCCAGACCCACCAACTACCCAGCCAAACAGAGGTCCCATCATGCTCTAAAGAGAACCAGCGCCTTGGAAACTAACCAAAGACCACTATAGACCCGCCCACACCGAAATCCAATCCGAGTTGTAATAGTACCACTGAGTCTGTATGTACAGTAATGTGTCTCTAGGTGCATAGTGATCGGGGCCTTAGTGGGTTTTCTTTTTTCAATTGACCAACAATCCGCACTCACCCTGGTCACCCTCATCATTGTAGATCAGATTCTAATAACTTATATGATTAAGTCCATTCCCAAACTCCATAAACAAGATGCGAAGAACTAGTTTGTCTCAATAATTTGAGTTATTGAGAGAAGTTCATATATGAATTTTAACAACTTTTTTACACACATCTCAAATGAAAAGTCAACTCAATATTTATGGATTTGAAGTTTACACATATAAAAAGTCATTTGGTCTCAATAAACGAGTTGGTAGGAGAAATTAATGAAATTTGTTTAGAAAGACCAACGCTTAAGTGTCTAATTCATATTAGAATTTTATAGGAAATTCTCATTACATCATGGTGAAGTTCAAGCTGAGTTGGATTTTTTTTTCGTTGAATCAGTTGCTTTTATTCCAAGTAAACCGATACAACGAGGCGAGAATAGATCTCGATCAAAACGACAACTTCAACTACTAAACAGCAACTATGTAATCTAGTCGACTATAAGAAACCTGTCTATAAGTAACCTAGCTCTACTAAAGTATCCCTGTGTCCTCTGTTCCCATAAGCAATAAACTGTATATCATCACGAATCAAATATGCAACCTGAGCTGGGGGGCGACATTGAGCTCCATGAATTACTCATCATCGCTCCTTCCAAATATATGTCACGAGCAGACACCAGGCCAGACCATGCCACTCCCTTGTTCTTGAGCTACCAACTTGTGTCATTGCATTCAACATCCTTTCCCAGTCTGATTGCATCAGCAGCTTACACTTCAGTTCTTCAGCTAGCCTCTTCGAGTATGAGCAGTGGACAAAAAGGTGGTCTCTGCTTTCAATTGATGAACTGCATAGCTGACAGGAAGCGTCGCTGATTTTGCCCCATCTCTACAATTTATCTCTTGTAGTAATGGCCTTTTTAATAATCAGCCAGACAATCAGACTGAAACGCGGAGGACAATTCCTACCCCAGACAAGACTGTACTAGGTTACCTTGGGAGCTTTGTGCCTCAAGGTTTCCCAGACCCTGCGGACAGAGTATACCATCATTTCCTTCGAATCCCAATAGACCTTACCATTCTGCTTCTGCATCCAGGGTGAAATCACAACCCTGAGCTTCAAAAGTTTCCTCCAGGCCCAAGAACTACTGCTCTGCACCTTGACAGACCACAAGTCAAGATTCTTGCATTTATATTCATGCATCCACGCCACCCAAAGAGTCCCAGAGTTCATGAGAAATAACCAGAGTAAGCGAATACAACATGCCTGGTTCCATGCCCCTAAATCCTTTACTCCCAGACCCCCTTCCTGCTTAGGAAGAGAAATATACTCCCATGCCACCTTTGCCCTGCCCTCATCCACACCATGCCATAAGAATTGCGAGCATATTTTTTGAATCCTCTTCAAAGCAAGCTAAGGCAAGACAAACAATTGCATCCAATATTGAACAATACCAATAAGCAGTGAGTTCAGAAGCTGGAGCCTCCCTGCATAAGTAAGTTTCCTGGCTCTCCATGATCTGATGCGCTTTGTGATTTTGTCCACTAGAATGTCAATTTCTGAGGAAGAGAGCTTACCAGCCAGTAGAGGAAGGCCCAGATACCTAAATGGCAATTTTCCTTCCTGAAACCCTGAAAGAGCAAGAGCATTGCTCTTATACTGCACTGATTCTCCACCAAAGTATATTTCACATTTGGATGGGTTACAGTTGAGACCAGATACCCTGTAGAAATGTTGAAGAACTTCTTTTACCTGAACAATTGCCTGAGCAGAACCCTTGGTAAATATGAGGAGATCGTCAGCAAAACAGAGATGGTTCAAAGCAACTCTTTTACATTGAGGATGAAAGGGTACCCTCCCTGAATTACTTGCTTCTCTCAGTAGTGTGGATAAGCCCTCCATGGCAATTGTGAATAGGTACGGTGACAAGGGGTCACCCTGCCTAACCCCCTTCTTAGCTCGGAAAAACCCACACAGACTTCCATTTATGTTAAAACTGTAGTGAGCAGTTTGCAGGCAATTTCTAATCCATAACAAAAACTTCTCTGGAAACCCAATGGTTTTCAACATAATGAACAAATATCTCCAATTCACAGAATCAAAGGCCTTCATTATGTCTACTTTAATTGCACAACGAGATGAAAGATGCCTCCTGTTATACCCACTAACTAACTCCTGTGCTAATAGAATGTTATCCATGATACTTCTCCCTTTAATAAAAGCAGACTGGGAATTGCTTATGATTAAAGGCATAACTCCTCTAATTCTATTCGTTAGGATCTTGGCTATTACCTTGTAAAGGAGATTAATACAAGAAATAGGCCTAAAGTTCCTAAGTGAATCAGCATTAGTAACCTTAGGTAACAGGGAAACTGCTGTGGAATTAATTCCACTGGGAAGCATACCTGAGTCAAAGAAGAATAAAATCCCCTTGGATACATCCTCCCCTATAATAGTCCATGTTTTCTTGAAGAAACCAGCTAAGAATCCATCAGGGCCAGGGGCCTTTTGAGAATTCATACCAAATACAGCACCTCTAATCTCCTCTGCTGTAACTTGCTTGATTAAACCAGAACATTCTTCCTGAGGAATCCTGTGCCTTACCAGATTCTGTATTTCCTCTATACTTGGATTAATGTCTTCATTTACCTCCCCCAGAAGCTTTTTATAGAATCCAATCACCTCTTCTACAATCTGATCCGTTTGATAAACTTCTTCCCCTGATTCTTTAACTAGCTTCCTGATTGCTCTTTTAGAATTTTGAATTTTCACTGCCTGGTAGAAGAAGTTTGAACACTGAGTTGGATTTTCCTGTTCCATTCGCGCTTCAGAATTCATGGTAGTCGCCTTTTGTTCTTTTTTTGTTTTTTAATATATAAATTAATTTATTTAATCTTACTTTTATATTAGCAGGAGCTAAGTGCTAATTGCTAAATAGTAATGGGGGAATTCTAAGGTGCCTCTACGGCATTGATGAAGTCAATAATTTGGTCCAATTCAAATACTTCAGATCGGGTTGGTTCGTTCCATTTTTAAATTCGGTTACCCAGAAATTTATAACGAACAAAATAATATGAAGTGCATGATTCATTTTCCTCTCACCTTTCTCCCTCTTCTTTGCTAATTTTTTTTCCAGTCCCTGACTCCCTTCACCGCAATCCAAATGATCACCACCGCTCGCCGTTGCCACCGCTCCGGCCACCACCTACACTGACAAACCCTGCCATCAAAGCTCAAGGGTTCTTGAACTGAATTTAAAATTCTTAAGAGCTGACTATTTTTCATTAGTTTTGACCGGTGTTAAAAACGTTAGTATTTAATAAAAAGTCTAATCAGTGTCGTTGTGACATCTTAAGTGTAGTTTTAAATACAATTCTATTTTTCATGCCACTTTATAAAATTATTAAAAAATAAAAAATAAAATAAAAAATCTTCGTCTTCCTCCTCAGCATACCAGTCGTGTGATCAACTGCAATTTTTCTAGCTCAGAATCGACCGAATGATCTTGGAGATCAAAGCATCCACTGCGTTAGAGGCTTGCTTGCTTCATCCACAAATGAGTCATTTCCCAGCCAACTACTGAAATCGATCGTTTCCCCGTTGTTTTCGTCGGAGATTGGAGTTGGGATGTACAGTCGCCGTCGATCTGGGGATTATGCGATACTGGGTGCGCCAATGACGTGACATCTACGTGTTTGTCACATTTTTGTCATGTCAACGAAAGTCAAAATTACTTTACCACCATCTGTTCAATCGTTATCTCTAAGAGTCAACAAAAACGTCATTATATAAATGTCACCAGAATATCGTACGATATGATATTATTGTCATATTGAATAAACTAGGACACAAATTATATTTTTTATATAATTATTTTATTTATTTTTTATATTTTTTTGTATTCCAAGAAAAAAAACAATCATAATTAAAAAAAATTATAATACAAAATTTTGGGTAAAAAAGGCGGGTCAACCAAATACAATAGGTTTGGCCGAGTGTGATTATATGAGGGTTATAATCAAAGGCCTAGGGTTGATTTCCCTTATCCAACGGCTCTCAATGCGACGGCACTCATGCCGGCACGGCACTACAGTTTTGCCGGTAATAATGATGTTTAAAATTAACATTAACCCGACCTGCTCTGTTAATCTGACCCTAAACCACACGGATTAGCGGCCAGACCAAGGAGGGAAAGCACTTGTTGCTTTCGCTGCAGACCGAGGAGGGAAAGCACAATGACGGAATCCGATGGCCGGCCGCTTCCCACTACGACGACGCCTCACGTTTTGATCTTCCCTTTCCCTGCGCAAGGCCACATCACCTCCATGCTCAACTTAGCCGAGCTCCTCTGCCTCTCCAACCTCAGAGTCACCTTCCTCAACTCTGACTACAACCACCGCCGCCTCCTCCAGTTTACCTCCGTCCAATCCCGTTTCGCTGTCTACCCCGAGCTCTTCTACATGCTGGGCATCGCCGACGGCCTGCCTATCGACCACCCCCGCAGCGGCGAGCAGATTCTCGACCTCTTCGAATCCATGAGATCGGTAACCAAACCCTTGTTCAAGGATTTGCTTCTCTCGATTCGCCCGCCGCTCGACTGCGTGATTAGCGACGGAGGTCTCGACTTCCCTCTCGATGTTGCCGGCGAGGTCGGGATCCCGGTCGTTCATTTCCGTACAATCGGCGCCAGCTGCTTCTGGACTTATTTCTGCATCCCTGACTTGATTGAAGCCGGCGAGCTCCCAATCCAAGGAGGTAAATAAATATGCTTGAAAGAAATCAAATGTTATCTTTAGTCCCTCCATTCTTTCGCTGATGCCGGCAACGTGTTCGATGAAATTCCCCTGAGAAGCAGGGGAAGAAGAAATGGACAGACTGATAACCAAAGTTCCCGGAGCAGAGGGATTTCTCAGATGCAGAGATCTCCCGAGCTTGTGCCGCGGAAGAGATCTCTATCATCCCTACCTCCAAGGTATGGTTTCCGCTACTAGACTGTCCTCCAAAGCTTATGCGCTGATCCTCAACACATTCCCTGACTTAGAAGGTCCAATTCTCACCCAAATCAATTCTCACTGCCACAAGATCTACCCAATTGGACCCATCCACGAGCACTTACGAACAAAGCTCAAGAAGCTGAAACCCACCCAAGAATCATCCTCGTCGTCGTCGTCGAGTCTCTGGGAAGAAGACAGAACCTGCTTGGGATGGCTAAACGGGCAGCCTCCGAAATCCGTCCTTTATGTGAACTTCGGCAGCATTACAGTGATGAAAGCAGAGGATATAATCGAAATCTGGCACGGTCTCATCAACAGCAAGCAGCGATTCTTATGGGTTATGAGGCAGGGCTCGGTCGTCGCCGAGCTTGGAAGCAACAGCAGCACCAGCACTTTCCCTGAAGAGCTGGTGAAAGAGTATCCAGGCGAAGAACACATGGTGGTGTCAGGGTGGGTGCCGCAGAAGGAAGTGCTGGATCATGGCGCCGTGGGTGGGTTTCTGACGCACAGCGGGTGGAACTCGACTCTGGAGACGATTGTGGCTGGTGTGCCGATGATTTGCCTGCCGTATTTCGCCGACCAGCAAGTGAACAGCAGGTTTACGAGCGAGGTGTGGAAGCTTGGGCTGGATATGAAGGATGCTTGCGAGAGGAAGGTGGTGGAGAAGGTGGTGACTGAATTGATGGGGGAGAGAAGGGAAGAGTTGGGGTCGAGGGCGGCGAGGATGGCCGAGTTGGCGAGACGGAGTGTTGGTTTGGATGGGTCGTCGGATCGGAATCTGGAGGCTTTGATTGAGGATATCAGATCGATGAGGAGGTCGTAAGCTGCTGCTTGGAATGGATGAAGTCAATGTGCAGTCCTCGATCAGGAGCGAAAAACACCTTCATTTTCTTCAGCGTCCAGAAGAGGTAAGGCAAGATCGACGTCGTTTTACCCTGTTTTGCCTGAAGTACCGTTACACCCAAGGAAACAAAATGGGTTCCCTGCAATCCCTTCATTTTCTGCAGCGTCAGGAGCTTCATAGTTGGATAGCTTTGTCTTGTAACTGTATGTTAGTCATAGATGGGACAACCTGAATGAAAGTACAGCCCTCAAGTTTTTAGGGTGTATCAATCTCAATCTAGTGTTAGCCTCCGAATTAGTTTAGAGTTTTTATGAATGAACGAATTCAAATTCATTTAAGTTTGGGTAATGCTTATGGAGTTTAGTAGACAAATTCAGTCTATTGGAGATATATAAACTAGGTGAGTAACGTATATTTTGGAAAATATAATTTCAATTTAATTCTAACCTATGGATAGTGATTGGCTAAAATTTTAGTGCTTATAGTGACGACTATTTAATAGTTAATAACGATGGCCGAAGTTGAATAATATTTTATAAATAATCGGTATAAAAAGACAAATTTTTCATACACATTGCATTACTACCATCACAAAACTAATGTGAATTCTATAACAAATGATGACAACAACTCCATCCAGAACCAGATACTCACAAAGAAGACAATTTACAGTACCTAAAACTCTTTCAATTTCTCACCGTTAGACATCCAATACACCAATTCAATCAATTTAAATCCAATCCATTTAATCCAAATTCAATTGGATTGGTGGATTTATGGATTGATCTATAGATCCAAATGACAAATTGCGTTAGTACCTATACTTTTTTATATTTTACATTTTGGCACCTAAAATTTATTTTTTATACGAAAAATGTCATTGGAAAATTATGATTTGGTACCTAAATTTTTTATTATGACATTTTGGTACCTAAACTTTTCAAAATTTACATATTGATCCAAGGTTTTGGATGTCATTTGGATTCATGTATCAATCCACTTGATCCATGACACTCATGGCCGATCATGAGACTGCTTGTTGAACGTCTGATGGCTCGTTGCTCCGACCTGAGATATGTAACAACGAGATCCCCCTTGATCCTTGCCGGATGTGCTTGACGGTCCCCCATAATAGGCTCACGTCACTTGGGGACTTCTTACCCCAGCTATTCCAATACACCAATCCATGGATCCAATCCATTTGCCACCTCTACTCACCATGTATCCATTAGATTCAATCCAGGATCCATATATCTTATCCAGTTGATTGCTACCACTAGTGTGAGTGCATCAAACCCGAACCCATGGGTATCCTACCCGACCCAACCCGGGTAAAACCCGTGTTGACGGGTTTTGGGTCAAGTTTGGGTTTAAACCCGTTTACTATTCACCGGGTTGGGTTGGGTTTGGGTTTAGGTAAACCCACCCCATGGGTACCCGCCCACACCCATATAATTAATTTTCTCGATATATTTAATATTCTAAACAACTAATTTTTTTTTTTATGTTTGTGAAGACATGTCTAATTTTTCTTTCTAATTGTTTAGAATGAAGTTGATATTATCGAGTGGAGAGTGAAGAAGTTTACGGATCGTTTGCTTGAGGGTTTTGATGATGGATTCGGTGATGGAAAAAACCAACCATCATGGACTTGAACGAAAATCCATCGTTTGCATTAGGGAGTTAGGAAGATGACATCCGTGGGGCCCACAGACTTTGGAGGTCCAAATCCGTGGACCCCACGGACTTGGAAGTTCCATCTCTTGAGGTGAGATTTGTATGATGGATTCAAATCCATGATAGTAGTTTACCCTTCTAGCCTTAATTATTTTTTAATTACAAATTTGTCCTCCTATTTCATTTCAACGGGTATGCAACTATAACATTTATAATGTCGTATTTTATTTAAGCATGAGAATTTTTCATTTTGTTTGTAATGTCGTATTTTATTTAAATATGAATGTGTATGTGATTTGTTTGATTCAACTAGAAACACCTTATACTCATCTTGTACATTATTATTTGATTAACTGTTGGATTCCAAAATCGGGGAGTTAGCAAGAAGATGTTGAGTTGCAGCAATAAGGCGAGCAACTAGTACATAATATTGTGTATATTATTAGATGAATTGTTAATTAGTGCGAAATTGTGAATATTTGTAGTTGAATTGTTAGTCCACATAGTAGTGGCAAATTATCAAATATGCCCTTATGTTAAAATTTTCATCCAAAAACCATTAACCATGGCCAAACTTTGGTTTGAGCGACACAAATGTCTAAAATATTCCTAATAATTTCACTTTAGAATTTTTTGTATAGCCAAATAATCCTAATACTTTCACTTTGACGAGACCCAGAGAAATAAACAGGGGACAAAATTGACATTTTCTCTCCCATTTGCCGATATCGGGTCGTCTTAATCTCGGTTCAACCATGATTGACAATTTTTTCAATGAAAATTTTAACAGAAGGGCATGTTTGATAATTTTTCCAAAGTACATGGGCATGTTTGATGTAAAAAATAATAGAGGGGCATGTTTGATAAAACGACATAGTAGAGTGGCATATTATACCTATAACCCATTAGTTAATGGAGCGCTTTGTGGGTGCTTAATGAACGGCCGTATTCTCAATTTCGATAGCCACCTATTGTCTGCCTCGACGGTCTCTGGCTATAAAGGGACACGTGATTAATTATAGTTGTTTGAAAGAGTAAGGAAATGGGTTAAACTCCCCAACCTCTCCAACAATTCGAGTTATTGTGATTAGTTAGTTGGTTTATGATAACGTATTGGATTTAGTTTGTCATTAATGTCATATGTATAAGTCCCCACGACCCACTAACTGATGAAATGTTACCCACACCTCAAGGTTTTGCTTGTAACTCACAAGTGTACGTGGACAACGGCCGGGCCGCCCACAGGCTAGCATGGCGCGACACGGTTAGCGCACGGCACGAGCACGGGCACGAAATATATGGGTCGGCTCGACACGAGCACAAATAATTTATGGACCATGCAAAAACTTCATGGGCACGACACTGTATGTAAATTGGTTGTGTCGGGTCTAATAATTGCGAGACCCTATTGAGTATAAGAACGAACATGACATGAAAAGAATATTTATTTGATAGAAAATAAATATAAAAAGGATTATAGGTCCAAATCTTAAAAAATACAAGTATAATAAAAATTATTTACTGTTGTTAGAAGTTATCATAAATATATATACGTAAGTACTACCATAAGTAAAAATAGACGAAGTATTAAACAAAGTCCAATCACACCCGCTATACTTCTAATTCCCACCCCACCCCCCCCCCCCCCCCCCCCGATTTGTTACATTTCTTTAACATTATCGGTTATTACTTTCATTCTCCGTCCAATTTGTTCATTCTTATCATTCCCTCTTTTATTTTGTTCATTTTCATTAAACACGAATATAAGCACGACACGAGCACGAATAAGCACAACATGATTCAAACCGTGCCCGGGCCTAGCAAAATTAACAAATGTGCTGACACGACACGAAATAAACGGGCCCGAAGCGTACCCGTGCCGTGCCGGCCCAATTACGGCCGAGTGCCCATGTACACTCACAAGCGAGAGAACGACGTTGGTGTCGAAAGACCTTTGGGTTTATTATTCGATAACCGAAACTAACGCCGAACTTACATATATATGCTAGCAAAGCCTAATATGCGACCTAAACCTACCCGAACTCCTTCTCCTATTCGGCTACCCCAACCCAACTCAAAGAAAAACTACAATGAAAAGGAAAAGACACCCAACCCAAAAATACCAAAAGCCCAAACCGAAAATAACCTCATCAATCCACATCCCTTGAAATCAACATAGTCTCCAAGGTTGACCCTCAAAATCCTCTTCCTCGAACACGCACATCACCTTAGCAGTACTACATTTGTGCCCAATGGTGAATCGCTCATTGCAGTTGAAGCATAGGCCTTGAGCTCTCTACAGCCGCTGCTCCTCCCAACTCAACCGCTTCCCTCCCGGAGGCCCGCGCGGTGGTCTCATACCCACCTGAGGAAGCGAGCTTGCAGTTCTCGCCCATAAGATCCTCCTCCAATCCATGTCACCCATGAATTCGCATGCTCCGCCGATCGGACAGCTGATTTGTGGCGTTGGAGTTTGTCGATTTTCATCCTTGCCAGGCTAATGGCGTCGCGCAAAGACTGCGGATAAAACATTCTAATCTCATCGGCCTCTCCGACTTCAAGTATCCCAAATACGTGCCCACCAATTCCTGTTGCGTCCAGCCGACGCAGCGATTACCCAGCTTCTCAAACTCTCTTTGGTAATCGCATAGAGACCCGGTCTGGCGAATCCACTAGAGCGCCTCGTCGCAGCTCTCTCCTTCGGTCAGGCCGAACCGCGCCCAGAGCTCCTGGGAAAACAACTCCCATGATATCGGCTCCTCTCCTATTCGGCTACCCCAAACAAAACTCAAAGGAAAACTACAAAGAAATTGAAAAGACAAACCCAACCCAAGAATACCAAAAGCCCAAACCGAAAATAACTTCATCACTAGCACTAACGGTTGTCTAAAAGCACATGCTATGAGTGTTGTTTCATAATTGAGATGTGGTTCAAATTGGCTTTTAAGTGGAATAAAATTAAAATGGTATATTATCGTTATATGAATAGTATGGGCAGAGCTGTCCAATGGATCATGGAGGCCTTATTTCAGAATTGAGATGTGGTCTAAATGGACTTCTAAGTGGAAAAAATCAAAATAATTATATCTTCGTTATATGTATGGTATGGGCAGAGATGTCCAATGGATTATGGAGGCTCTGTTGCAGAATTGGGATGTTGTCTAAATTGAATTTTATGTGGAGAATGCTCTGGTTGGAGAATTGGAGGTGCATACAGATGGGGAAACAAGATGTGGATCGCACAGGGCATGTGGGTGGGTTCTGCTGGAGTCAGTTGTGTATGTGTGTGTGGAAGGGGGTAC